TCCCCGCGCTGCTGCAGCCTCCGAGCTGCTCCACTGCCTCCCCCACCCGCCGCACTGGAGCGGGTGGGGTGTTCCCTGAACCATCAGTGGCCAGAGGGGGAGGGGTGTGAAGTCAGCGCCCCTACCCAGGCCCCACCTCCTCGAGGCCCGCCCCTTTGAGCCCGCTGGGGAAACACCGGAGGGCTCGGGCCCACACTTTGAGGAGAGGCGGAGACGCCCGTGTTGACCCTTTCCCCCTTATGCCTGCGTGGGGGTTTGGGGGGGACTTAGCTGTCTTTCTCCTACAGACCGGAGTGTTCCACACCAACGGGGAGGGGCAGCACTGCCACCGGGCCCCGCCTCCGTCCTCGGGGGTCGCTGCGGGGCCCCGCCTCCCGCATCGGGCCGGGCGTGGGCGGGGCCCAGCCTTCCCACCTCCGGCAAAAGTGAGAGTTCGGAACCGGGCCCTAGAAAATAATGATTGCTACCTCTTTCTAACTTGTAGTTCCGACCGGTTTAATCCCTCGAGTTTGCCCTTCCCTCTGACTAGAAATGTCCTTCCTCGGGGAAATGTCCTTCCTTCGGGAGGTGCGGGTTAACAGCACCACCCAAATCCCGTGTGGTTCTCGTTCCCGCTAGCTCTCTACTCTGGCCCAGCGTACACGTCTCGCATGTTTTTGTGACTCTCTCTTTACCCCGAATAACTTTTAATAATAAAGAAGCTAGATTTAGTTAACCATTAGACTTTATTCTGAGAATTTCAACAAGTTTGCTGTGCCTCAGCAGACAGTGGAATCGCCCTTTGCCGTCCTCCTGGCTGTTGCATGGAATGTGCCATTTATGGAGGGGTGTGGCTTAATTCAATTTGTTGAGGCCTTAAAAGAGCGCTGTTGCTACATATTCCGTTTAATGTAATGTTCGTGACGCTTCCGTTGTGAGGAATTGGCTACTTTCCATAGTATTTCTGGATACGTAGGTAAAGGTTTCGTTTTAAAATATTTTAACAGTTATTGCTTCCCCTTCTTTCCAAGTTTTCTGAGAAAGGGAAGTTATTTTGATCTAGAGTTCTAAACCCGGGAATGGGTTTTGTTCCACACCGTTCTGTCTCCTGACTAGACCTTCCTTCTCCAGCTTATGGTGGTATAGGACTGCGTACCCTACGCTCGGGTTGGGCATCAAGAGAGTGCTAATAACTAACTGCTTGACTGCTTTTCTGCCTTCTGATTTCAACCCGCATCTCTGATAACTCACCATCGCAACCGGGAAGAGTTTTGCCGAGTTTTTGGCAAGGAGTCTGAATACACGTTGCAGGTTATAGTATACACGCTTCCCCGCCCCCCCCATAAAAATCGACCGATGTACCCATCAGTTTATGTAGAATATTTTCTTTAGGAGCAGGTCAAACATACTATCATAATAAAGATTCGCCTCATCTCGATTGGATCTTCTGTCTTACGGAAGTAAATTACTGTGTGATGAAATTGGACTATTAGTTTTCTTTGCCTT